GGGTAAGCATGTCTGTTTCAAATGACAGAAAAAGTGTTTCAGATGAAGGAAAAGACAAAGACAGATGCAAAGTGGTACTAGAAATCAGCATTTCCAGGGAAATCTTGACAGGTTTTGAACTTGAGGTACTCATAAACTCATACTTTAGGAACAGAACATGAAAAAAAACCTTTTTGAAAACCATAACTTCCAGAATTATCTAGTCAGCATGACCAGTGGCAGTTAAAGAGCTGCCTTGTTATACCAGGTAATCTGATATGATTTAGCCCCCGGTGGCGCAATGGATTAAACCCCTGTGCCGGTAGGAATGAAGACAGGTTTGAATCTGGGGAAAGTGCAAGTGAGCTCCCTCTAGCAGCTCCAGCTCCCTATATAGGGACACGAGAGAAGCCTCCAACAAGGATGGTAAAACATCAAAATATCCGGACATCCCTTGGGCAACGTCCTTGCAGATGGCCAATTCTCTCACACCAGAAGCAACTTACAGTTTCTCAAGTTGGTCCTGACATGAAAAAAGCTCAGTTTTTTAAACCACAGTGGCTCTCCAGATTCTCAAAAAATGGCCACTCACATCATCACTAAACTCTTCAAAATGGAAATTGTTGGTTTGATTACTGGGACTTACTGCATTCTAAATCTAATGCTCTACTTTTCATTGCTGTTGCACAATCCAACATCAGATTCAAGTAGCAAGGTGTGCGATATAAGAGTTATTTATTAGGGCTGGCCGGTTTCGTTTCATAATTTCGTAATTCATTAAAAATTCGTTATTTTTTTATAACGAAGCGATAACGAACCATTCAGGAGCAACTAAAAAACGAAACGAATTTTTAAATTCGTTTAGTAATTGTTTCGAATTCGTTTTGTATTCGTTTCGTTATTGTTTTGAAATCGTTTCGTTATTATTTCCGCATGTCTGGGGCAAGTTTTATAGTTGTTGTTTGTTTAATCAGTGGAAAAAAATTATAAATATCACACCAACTTTCAACAACAGAGGGAGAGGGAAGCTTCAGAAGTTCCCCCTGTCCCATTTGGACGTTTTTTAGCGTATTGCACGGTCGCGTCCGCCATTAACGAATCGATTAGTAATTGTTTCGTAATTGTTTCGTATTGTTTTGTAATTTACGAAATTTCGTAAATATCGAACTTTTTAAAAGAAAAATTTCGGAATTCTTTTAAAAATCGAAACGCAAAACCCCCCAAAAAACGAATCGATTTTAGAAACAAATTTTTCCGTGGTTGCCCAGCCCTATTATCTGTCACAGATGGTAGTATCATTCTAGGCCATTTATGCCTTCCTGGACAAGGACATCATGAGAGCTGGCAACTCTCTCTACGTACTTTCAAGGTCCACTTGTCTTGGAGAGAATGAGACTAGAAATGTCACAGCACTATAAATGATCAATGAATGTGCATCCAGATCTTGAACACAAAACCATCAATAACACATACAACAAATGCACTAACTGTGCAATCTTATATAAAGGACTGGGTTGTGGTGCAGCTGGCCGAGATTCAGCTACATTAAAATCACTACTGATTGAAAAGTCATGAGTTCAAAGTCAGCCCGGGTCGGAGTAAGCTCCAGACCATTTGTCTAGGTTGCTGTCGACCTTTGCTGTCCGAAAGACAGTTGCACCTGTCAAGTAGGAAATGTAGGTACCGCTTATACAGGGAGGTTAATTTAACTAATTTATGATGCCATAAAAATCTCCAGCAATGTGCAAAAGAATGAGGAAGTACTCCATCGGTGTCATAAGTGGACAGTGAATCAACAGCTTCCTCAGTGGTCGGAATTCAAAGCATACCCTCATGAAGCTGGAAAGTTAAATAGCCTCTGTGTTTCTGTCTATATATGTTGAGTGTCTATGGCGACAAGTTTTATGATTATATTTTATTTTTTTAATCTTATGCTTATGTTGTTTTTTACTTTGTATGTTTTGTGATGTTACCTGGGAACCACTCTGAGTCCCCCCGGGGAGATGGAGCAATATATAAATAAAGTTTTATTTTTTATTTTATTATAATAAACATAACTATTCATGCATTGTTTCATGTATGCCTCTATTGTTACACAGTGTAGTATATACTTTTAGGAAAAAAAACAGCTAGGGTTTTTGAATTTATCAAACAACGTACAGAGGCAAGTCATTTATCCATAGAAAGAAAATAACTAAACATGGCAACATATGTGAAGGCACTTACTCTCATAAGTTCTAAAGAAGATTCATTATTAGCAACCAATAATGTGTCACAGAAATCTACATTATTATCATTTTACAATAGCTGTGTTTGCAAATAATGCTAAGCCAGGAGTCTGTTCACTCTGCTTCACTCTTTTACAATCATAGAATTCAGATCTGACTTGTGGAATGGTTTGTAGCATAGCACAAGTTGTACAGAACAGTGCAGTTGTGGCCTCAGTCTTGTCAGATGAAAATATAAAGGAAGGGGCTATTATGCCACCAGCTATAGTTTCCTCTTTGAAAAGTGTGCTCGTTTCTTGCTCCTAATAAATATAGTTGGGATATTAGTGATCAAAATCAAAATAATTGCTCCTTAATTTGTCATTCTATTCTCCCAGACCATGTCTTTAAAGTCTAATGTGAAGGTGGTCCCATTTGAACACTACCTCAGATTGAAACGTTTTGGCTTGGCACTGAACAAATGGGTGAACAGGCCAAAAGGGAATCCTGCTAAATATACATTGTGTGGAATTTTTCCTGAATGGGTATTACTTCGTAAACTCATAGAATCATAGCGTTGGAAGAGACCTTGGGAACCATCCAGTCCAATCCCCTGCAAAGAAGCAGGGAAATTGCATTCAAAACACCCCCGACAGATGGCCATCCAGCCTCTAAAAGCTTCCAAAGAAGGAGCCTCCACCACACTTTGGGGCAGAGAGTTCCACTGCTGAACAGCTCTCACAGTTAGGAAGTTCTTCCTAATGTTCAGGTGGAATCTCCTTTCCTGTAGTTTGAAGCCATTGTTCCGCATCCTAGTCTCCAGGTCAGCAGAAAACAGGCCTGCTCCATCCTTCTAATGACTTCCCCTCACATATTTATACATGGCCACTATGTCTCCTCTCAGCCTTCTCTTCAGGCTAAACATGCCTAGCTCTTTGCTTGCATATCTTGTATATGATATGCAAACAAATGAGCAAAACTTTGTATTATATTTGCTTTATGTTACATTGGAAATCATGACTATATTTTATTATCTCTCACCAAGCCAGGATTTATAAATGATCAACAAACTTGAAAGTTATCTTCCAACCATGGCCTGTTGTTGTTTATTTGTTCAGTTGCATCCGACTCTTTGTGGCCCCATGGACTAGCCCATGCCAGAGCTCCCTGCCAGCTGTCACCACCCCCAGCTCCTTCAGAGTCAAGCCAGTCACTTCAAGAATACCATCCATCTATCTTGCCCTTGGTCGGCCCCACTTCCCTTTTCCTTCCATTTTCCCCAGCATCATTGTTTTCTCTAAGCTTTCATGTCTTCTCATGATGTGGCCAAACTACTTCATCTTTGCCTCTAATCGTTCCCTCCAATGAGCAGTTGGGCTTTATTTCCTGAATTATGGGCTGGTTCGATCTTCTCGCAGTCCAAGGCACTCTTAGAATTTTCCTCCAACGCCACAGTTCAAAAGTATCTATCTTCCTTCACTCAGACGTCCTTATGGTCCAGCTCTCACATCCATAGGTTAATAAGGGGAATACCATTGCTTTATCTATGCAGATCTTCATTGCCAGTGTGATGTCTCTACTCTTCACTATCTTATCGAGATTGGTCATTGCTCTCCTCCCAAGAAGCAAACATCTTCTGATTTCCTGGCTGCAGTCTGTGTCTGCAGTAATCTTTGCACCTAGAAATACAAAATCTGTCACTGCCTCCACGTTTTCTCCCTCTATTTGCCAGTTATCAACCAGTCTTGTTGCCATAATCTTGTTTTTTTATGTTTAACTGCAACCCAGCTTTTGCACTTTCTTCTTTCACCTTGATTWAAAGGCTCCTCAGCCCCTCCTCGCTTTCGGCCATCGAAGTGGTATCATCTGCATATCTAAGGTTGTTAATGTTCCCTCCAGMAATTTTAACTCCAGCCTTGGATTYGTCAAGCCCCACACATTGCATGATGTGTTCTGCATACAAGTTGAATAGGTTGGGTGAGAGTATACAACCCTACCATACACCTTTCCCAATCATGAACCAGTTTCCATGTTCCATGTTCAATTCTTACAGTTGCTACTTAGTCGTTATACAGATTCCTYGGGAGACTGACAAGGTGATTTGGTGTCCCCATAYTACCAAGAACTTGCTGCAATTTATTATGACCCACACAGTCAAAGGCTTTAGAAGAGTCAATAAAACAGAAATAGATGTTTCTCTGAAACTCCCTGCCTTTCTCCATTATCCAGCAGATATTGGCAATTTAGTCTCTTGTTCCTCTGCCTTTTCTAAAGCCAGCTTGTACATCTGGCAACTCTCTCTCCATGCATTGCTGGAGTCTTTCTTGCAAGATCTTGAGCATTACCTTACTGGCATGTGAAATAACTGCCACTGTACAAAAGTTTGAGCATTCTTTAGCATTTTTCTTTTTTGGTATGGCCTGTTTGGGCACAAATCAATTTATCCCATGGTCCAGTGCAATGGGAAACTAACTTCATCTAGGTTTGCTTCAATCATTGCAAAATGCTGATTGAAATAGAAATGTTTTGCTTGTGTGCACCAGACTGTTCATTTGCACGATCTATTAAAATAGGATTCCTTCCTGATTTAGCATTAGGCCCTAATATAACCAATAAAACCATGGTCCTGAAAGATATTATGCAAACAGAGAGAGTCAGACTTGACTTTGTGTTAATGTTTTCAAGGGTAAACTTGTGTTCGTTGGAGAATTCAACAATAACAAAAAGCATAATCTTATTTTCAGGAAGGCTTTTCAGCAATATGACATTTCATTCCTTAGCAGTGTTCATTTAACAAAGAAAAGGAATACTTACTGGATCATTTTTTACCAAATCTCGGTCAGACACTACTGCAATGAGATGGGCGAGTGTAAACACTGAGTTAAGGACGTAGGAAAAAAACAAATTCTTGTGCAGCGTGATCCTTTGACAGCTGAGGCTCCTGAAAAATATGCGCCACAAATTGTAAATGAGAGTTTTGACTCTGATGTCACTTTATAAAAAGCACAGGCTGGCAGCTTTTTCTGAAGAATGCAGTCTGGTAAGAGGCAGCTGGAAAGCACATGGCGGGTGCTGAAGCCATGGGAGCAAATCCCTACTTCCCTGATTTCTTACACCTGTTTGAAGTTATACACATTCCGGGAAATCTTTAAAGGGTTTTGTCTGAGCACTATATATTCAATATGCAAGGTACAGATACAAAGACAGACTGATAGAACAAAAGTGTTGATTTTTCCATAATTGTATATTATCCTCATGAGCACCACATGTAACATTCTAAAAAGGAATGCTGTTTGGAACATGTAAGTGGAAATTACATAACCCAGTAGAAATGGGTAGTCGGCTAAGTGAAAACGACTGACTTGTAATTTCCCTAGATGTTCAGGTTTGGATTCATCGTCTCCATGGTTTGGATTCTTTCTTGGATTCCACAAGTATAAGAAACATTAAAATGTGCCCAATATAATCAAGAAAGTGGCCTGTTTTTCAAGGTTTCCACAGTCCGAAGCCAAATCTGTACTCTAACTAATCACAAAATGGTTGTGCCATTATCTCACTAGATTTATCAACAGAGGGAATATAGCAGTATTATATGTCTGAGCCTTCAGTAGCTGAAATAATTAACCTACAACTATAGGGATGTAGATCCTGACTGAATTCAGATTAAGTAACATTTAATAACATCAGTGGGACTTAAGCTCATGCTTTAATTGTGAGTCACTCTGGGATCCCCAATATGCACTGGACTGACTTTGGGGGGGGGGGCAAAGTGTTGTGTTGTCTGCTTTGAGTCCCCTCGGGGTGAAAAAAGCGGTATATAAATGCTGTAAATAATAAATAAATGTTGAAGGCTTTCATGGCCGAAATCACTGGGTTGCTGTGAGTTTTCTAGTTGTATGACCATGTTCCAGAAGCATTATCTCCTGATGTTTCACCCACATCTATGGCAGGTATCCTCAGAGGTTGTGAGGTCTGTTGGAAACTAGGCAAGTGCGGTTTATATATCTGTGGAATGTCCAGGGTGAAGAAAGAACTCTTGTCTGCTTGAGGCAAGCGTGAATGTTGCAATTGGCCACTGATTAGCATTTAATTGCCTTGTAGCTTCAAAGCCTGGCTGGTTGCTGCCTGAGGAAATCCTTTATTGGGATGTGTTAGCTGGCCCTGATTGATTCTTGTCTGGATTTCCTGGGGTTTTTTTAGTGTTGCACTTTATTTACTGTCCTGATTTTGAAGTTGCAAGGCCATTAAATGCTAATCAAGGTGGCCAATTGCAACATTCACACTCGTCTCAAGTAGGCAAGAGTTTTTTCTCCCACCCTGGACATTCCACAGATATATAAACCTCACGTGCCTAGTTTCTAACAGACTTCACAACCTCTGAGGATGCCTGCCATAGATGTGGGCAAAACGTCAGGAGAGAATGCTTCTGGAACATGTCCATACAGCCTGGAAAACTCACAGCAACTATTATTTTGTTGTTTAACCACCCAAATGTAAAGAATTTTTGGGGTGCTATTTACATTGTTCCTTTAAAATCTTAAATAATTTAGTACTACTCACAAGCATGGCAATGAACTATTCACCCTAATTCCAGATAACTCAGTTACACCAAATAACAATTCTTGGAGCACCATATAGTTGTGTTCTTTCCATGGTGAAAAGTAACCCTTGTGGTATCATTGCCCTTTACATCCTTTTCTTCAACCATTTATCAATGGTGATTCAAACAATATAGAAAACTGGCATTTGGGTAGGTTGTCATTCTTTATTACCTAAGAATTATTTTTTTTTTAACAGACAAGAGGTGAATTGGTGACTCTACTTGTGACTATCTCAATCAAATCAGCAAAGTAAAGAAAGCAGAAGTTTGAACAAATCACTTACTTGAAATAGAAGAAGATCCCCAAGGATATCAACAAGGAGGTTATCGATAAAGCATGTCCTACAATGGTCATGTAATAAAGTATGAATACCATCTGAAATTTTAAAAAAGACAACTAAATGAAGAAAGAACTAATTGAAACATTTTTATTTATTTAATACATGTCTTTAGAAATAGGTCTTCATGATGCTGAAACTTTAAATGGATGAGTCTGGAAGTCAAAAATACTTGGTTCATGACTACATTGTATATGCATATCCTTATCTGAAATTGTATTTTTCTCTGTATGGATTATGTTTCCCTTACCTAAATGCTTGGAACCAGAAGAGTTTTGGGCTTTTTGGAATACCTGTATTTTTATACTTGCATAATGAGGTATCATGGAGATTTATTTATTTATTTATTTAAAACATTTATATTCTGCCCTTCTCACCCCGAAGGGGACTCAGGGCAGAGCACAGCATATACACGGCAAACATTTAATGCCGGGGCACAAATTCATATACACATACATAAACATTAAAAACATTTAACTCAATATTAAAATACACCATTTAGATCCAAGTCTAAACATGGATTCCACCTATGTTTCATAGTCATCTTATACACATAGTCTTAAAGTAATATTACAAAATTTGTGCATAAAATGAAATTTATGTACATTGAACCATCAGAAAGCAAAGGAGTCATTACCCGCTGGCGCAATGAGTTAAAATCTTGTGCCAGCAGGACTGCTGACCAACAAATTAGTGGTTTGAATCCAGGGAGCAGGGTGAGCTCCCGTCTCAGCTCTAGCTTCCCATGCGGGGAAATGAGAGCAGCCTCACACAGGATGGTAAAACATTAAAATATCTGGGCGTCCCCTGGGCAATGTTGTTGCAGATGGCCAATTCTCTGATACCAGAAGCAACTTGCAGTTTTTCAAGTTGCTCCTGACAAGAAAAAAATTACCCATGTGGAAAGTTTGGAATTGGGAATATTTTGAATTTTGATAAGGGAAGCACAACCTGTATCTTGCCATGAAATGAATGCTACATTATATTTTCATATTGGTGTAGCTGCAGGGGAATATGTAGGGATGTGTCAGAAACAGCAGTGCCGCTTCAGAAGACTGCTTTAATTTCTGCAGGCATGTATATCTGCAAGCAAGCTTTACATATTTTATGTTATTAAAATATTATTAAAATGCCTTCTGTGCGGTGTCACCCCATCTGTGGAAAGCCTACTCCATAAAGCTCCAATTAGTGTCAGCATTTTTTTCTTTCTGTGGCACTGAGTCAAAATGTGGCTTTTTATTACAACAGTTGGCTCCTAATTGGTTTTTCAAATGGTCATCTACATGGTAGAAACTAATTTAATCTTTTTGGTCTGTTTTAATTTACTAAATATGCTCTTAGCCTTTTAAAGCAATTTTTATGTCATTTTTAATGTAGACTTGTTGGAAATTGTTTTACATGCATGTCAATCTGAACTTTCATGATAAAGGGTGGGATATAAATATTTAAATAAATACATATTCCCACCATCAGTGCTCCAGTGCTGCTGGCTAGGAGCTAAATTTGGACACAGTGTTTGGCAGCATCTTCTATTCCAGTGTGATGGGTCACACTTGGATTTAAACACACAGTTAATGCTGCCAGTAGATCTTGGTTAGACTGGAATAAAACAGGCCTATTCATGCATTCTTCTATTCATGCTTTCCACATTCCTATTTCTTCAACTTTCTCGCACTCATTCTTTATATAAATATGTGGCGACATTTTCAGTCATTTTTGCTGAGCAAAATAACTGAGAAGCACAAACCCCTCTAAACAAAATAATTGAAATCCCAAAAGAAATGCAAGGAAGAAAACAGGAAATCATTTCCAAGAGAATCATATATACACACACACATACACACCCACCCACACACACACACACACACACACTTACTTTGATGAATGGCAATTGCTTTCAGATGCCTGGAATCTTTCCAAAGCAACAGTCATGTTCTGCTGCAGTTTTTCTTTCATTTTCTTGTATGTTTAACATAAATAGTAATCAGATCTCCCCCCCACCCCCATGAGTGACATACTTGGCCTCCTTAATCTACCATCTGGGAAAATGAAAATCTCTGCAGAAGTTCTCTTAATACTTTTGTGAATATCTTTATTTCTTCAGAGGGTCATGGATCTTCTTGAAATATAAAATAAACATTTTGAATTGTACTAATTAGACTTTTTCACATTATGACATAATAAGTATGCCATAGCTCACGTCTAGTTGCCATACAAGTAAAAGAGAAGTCACTCAACTCACAATCGTTTGCAAGTTCAAAACAAAAACATGGCTGTAGAAAACACTGAAAAGAAAAGGATAAACATACAAACACAAGGTCGGGGTACTTTAATCAATGAAAGAAAGTTAAGAACAAAATAAGAAGTGCAAACTCTGCTTAATTATGGTTGAATCAAACTCTATATTTAATATATCCCTGTTAATTCATATTTATCCCAGTGAACTCAGACTATAATGCTATAGAACAGTGATTTCCAAACTTTTTTTTTGATAAGGGTCTACTTGACCAGGGACCACTCTCCAACATTATTTTATTTATTTATTTATTTATTTATTTATTTATTTATTTATTAGTCTTTTTATATACCGCCACTCCCCAGTTTACAATATACACATGTGATATATTACATATAAGATCAAGAACAACTTCGATCAGCAAAATTCAAATGCCACCCTAAATAAATAAGTTTTACAAGCTCTACGAAAAGCAAGTAAATCACGGAGAGCTCGTGTTCCCACTGGAAAAGCATTCCACAGATAAGGAGCCACGAATAAGTTCTGGCTCTCCAGCACCAAGGGAAATAAATGGCTTTTTACTAAACATAGATTACCAGTATAGATGTTCCTTTCATTTCAAACAATTGCCCTTTAGGATATAGAACATGTAAGGTAGATTGTGGTTCTTCTGGGGAAGATCAATAGGGAGCAAAACTGATGACTCTCCAGCAGCAAGGGAAATAAATGGCTTTTTACTAAACTCATTGGGCCTAATTGATTTCATCACAACCTATACATTCACATGAATGTAAACTGTATTGTTTTAACGGGCTTAAAAGATTGCTTACCTTACGTTTTTCATTTGTGAAAGAGTTGCAGCGTGTATAGTTAGACCACGTTCGATTGCTTTCAGGGTGGCGGAACCACGTTCCTGTCTTATCACAGTATTTCGTTGCTGTTTCTAGTGAATTAAAAATGCAAGAGACACAATTCATTTAGTTTGCTAAATCTCTATGCTAAACCTCATTAGTTTTTATACATCTAATTAAGTCAGGTGACATTTAAATCTCGTTTCTCATTTCAGTGAGATGGATTATGTCACGCTAAACTTCATTTTGCTACAGGAATATAACAAGTTTTACACATCCCAGTATCTTCCTGTAAGAGGTTATATTTGTGTCAGATGTCTCTTTTATTACATATCCCCTGAATCTTTTGGATACTATGGAATTCATCAAGACAAGATGCTGTAATAGGTTTATTTATTTTGTGTCAAAAGATGGTTTTAAACAGTGGATTTTAATGTCAAGATAAATTACCTTAATGCTTTTGTATGTGTATAATCTATTTATGTCCCGGCATTGAATGCTTGTCGCTTTGTATGTTGTGCTCTCCCCTGAGTCCCCTTTGGGGTGAGAAGGATGGAATATAAATGTTTTAAATAAATAAATAATAAATATAAAACTGATAAAAATAGAGGGAACACAAGCGGTTAAATATTTTTTGACCAAAAAACAGGCAGCAGTGACCGCATTGTCTGCGGCTTTAAACAATTCTTCCTCTGTGCATGAGGCAGGGCATTGTGGACAAGCATACGTATGCAGAGTTGTTCATTCTGCTCCACAGTCACATAAGGTGGAGGATTCTTCTAGATAGTGCCATTCAAAAACATTTTAAAAATTGTTATAATGGTAGTGGTCAATTTTGCTATAACTGATTACAACAGTATTTTATTTTTATATTTTGTACTAAGATGGACTGAATACCTGCCCCTCCTTATTTACAAAAAAATAGTGTGTATGTATTTAGAGATTTTTCAGGGGGAGGGGGAGTGTATAAGTTCCATAACATTTAAGCCAAGAGTGGGTTCTTCCTTCCTTCCTTCAACAGCAAAAATGTAGGATGTCAAAGGTTGCATTCACATTCACCTGGTACACTATCCCTGCTTAGCACACTACAACTGGGGTGCCATTTGGACAGTTTTAAAATACTTGCAGCATTTTAGGCCATTAAAAAGAACGCCCTCTGCAACTAAAGCAGTTGTGGGGATGTGTTGAAATTTCTTATGCTAGAGGTCACAAGGACAAGTTTTGTGGAGCAACATCTCAGATTCACTAGCAGAGTGTTTTTGTTTACTACATCATGACATGTTGTGTCTGAAATTATGACAAGGGAAAAAAAGAAAAAAAGAAGCAAGAGGGAGGAGAAGAAGAACACAAAGGAGAAGGATGATTCACTTTTAATGTAAAACGACTTCAATTCTTAACCTTTGCTTCCATCCTACGATTAATAAAATCCTTGCTGTGAGGGTTTTTTTGCAACATCTCCTGAAATATTGTAGCCCATTATTATGTTTTGATTATGGTCAAATGATTTTTAGAGTGAAGACCTAATACTGAATGCCAAAAGGGCATACACAGTTCCACCATGTCTCTTGGAAATTTTAGTGCATTTTAAAAAACAAAACCATGGTCAAATAGCTATCAGAGTGATGAGCTGATGCTGGGGGCAGAACTGTGTACACATAAATATTCACTCAAAGCGCATCCATCTGTTGTCATACAGACTCAATCACAAATCGCAGTTTTTCTAGTTCACACACTTGTAGCAGTCTGTCTCTTTGCTGAGCATGATTTATTGGAGACACATTACATGCAGCTTTTGGTTGAAGTGATTTATTTGATAAACACAACATTACGTTACAGCAAACTTTTAAAAAGAGCCATAGGACTTTGAATAACAATAATTTTGTTATGGAATAAGTAAGTCATACTAAAGTTATCACTCTTTTCGGTCATAGAAGTCTTGCTATAACAGAGAAACATCTAGTATTCTGGTAATAAAACCAAATCAGTGGTAAGTAAAATATGAGGGTTATCTGGAAAGTAAGGTAACAAGGCATGTAGCTCTCACAGGGAAGTTTCTCGGGGGAAGTTGGTATCACTGCTGTGTAGTGGGAACCCAGCGGAAATGAATGAGCAGCGCCAGTCGTCAGTAGCTCTTTGACTGGTGTGGTGAAGGTTAGAGATGAGCGTCCTCATTCCGTTTCCCTCCAAGTGCAAAGTTTGCTCTGTGATACACTACCTAAATGCTAAGGGCATGAACATCGCTGCGATTCATCGCAAAATCATTTCAGTTTATGGAGAGGATGTAATGTCAAGACAGCATGTGACAAAATGGGTACGGAATATATTATGAGACCATGAAGAAACTTAGTAGAGCCATCCAGCTATGAAAGGGCAGTTCAAGAGCCAAGTCTAACACAATCCAAACTCAGGTGCCAGTAGTCCAATTACAACAAGATGTCACGGCACATAGGAAAAACTGACACACATCCACATACAAAGATTTCTAACACTTTCTTCATCCCAGAACTGAGGTGTAAATTGGAAAACTGTCTGGAAGCCACCTAGAGCTAAGCTGTAGCTCGGCAGCTGTTCTCTATGGCAAGTTGCTCTGACAACTTTGTGTTGAACCCTTGCCTTCATTCTGCATAATTCTTGCCCACTGGGAAATGGTCTAGATTCACCTTCTATGCTAAAAACTCTCAACTTCTGTTCAACCGTCCTCATCAAAGCCTCAAAATTCACAACACACATAAAGCGGGAACATAAAGGCACAGCTCAAGCCAACACCAGAACCATATGATATTTATCTTTTACTTTTTATTGAGGTGACACCCCACAATTACAGCAATTTTCATTAGCTACTGATAAGCTTTCAAGCACCGTTCAAAGTGATGGAGGTTGCCTACAAAACCCTACACAATTTAGCAGCAAGTTATCTAACTCCCTCTGTTCTCTGATATGAGCCTTCCTGAGCTATAATATTTAAAAAACCACAAAAGTACACATAAAATGTTATTTAAAAACAATATTAAAATTAATTTTAAAAGAGTTAAGCAAAGCACTTTCATACATTAAATTCCATGTGGAAGAACTGAAGATGGGCAAAGGTTCTCCTGGCCACAGTAGCAACCTGGCATTTCAGGAGCAACCTCAAGATACAACTGAGAGCAACTCATTCAGAACAGACTATGATCCTATCTGCTGGTTGGTTTTACTGTTGACTAACAGACATCCATCTTGTCTGGATTAAGTCTCAGTATGTTCATTCTTATCCAATCCTTCATTGCACTCAAACGATGATTTAGGACTTTTGCAACCTCCTTGGCGTCAGGTACAGAGGAGAGATAAAGTTTGGTGTCATCAACATACTGATGACATCCAACTGCCAAACTTTAGAATATTTCTGTGGTGAAGTGTGAGTTTTAATCTAGTTATGTATAATAATAGGTGTTTAAAAGGGTAAGTATTTAAACTAGCATAATTGGGGTGGGGTGATATGGAAAATAGCTGGGTTGCCATGGAAAAAGGGGCGGAGCCAACTGCCACTTGGCAGGGCAGCCATTTTAAAACAGTCAGTGAACTATAGGGAAGGCTGATTCTGTTGTGTGTTGAGAACCAGTAAGGGAGTCTGTAGTCAGCAAACTACAGGGAAGGCTGGTTCTGTTGTATGTTGAGAACCAGTAAGGGAGTCTGTAGTCAACGAACTACAGGGAAAGGCTGATTCTACTGTGCTGAGAATCAGGAAGGTTTGGCTTTTAGCCTGTGTAGTTTAGATAGGTTGAGCTGACTTATTTATATTAGTCAGTGTATGAGCAAAAGGGGGAGAGAACCCTAATAAGAATCTTTACTGCAACAGAAATAACATAAGGAAGCTTGCGAACACCAGTGTTTTCGATTTTGGAGTATCTGAATTTGCATATACATAAATCACACTGAGATCTTATGGAGATGGGATTGAAGTCTAAACATGAAATTCGTGCTTCATATGCTTCATGTGCACCTTATACACATAGCCTGAAGGCAATTATTCTATAATATTTTAAATAATTTTGTGCATGAGACAAAGTCTGTGTACACTGAATCATCAGAAAATAAAGATGGTACTATCTCAGCCATTCATATGGTCAACTTTGATTTTGGAGTATTTTCTCACATATCTTCCACCTGACTGAAAGAAACAAGAGGACATGCTGACAACAGAAGGAATGTGCTCATTTTCTATGACCAAGAACATACTTTATATAGAAGCCTTTGGAATAAACACATTCTATGCAGTCCAACTAAAATGTCTTCTGGAAAAACTACATTTTAGTGCACCAGCTTTTGGGGTCCAGTGTTCAAGTGTGAATACGTGACTAGGCAATATACACAAAAAGAACACACTCAGGTCATCCTAGATGCTTTCATTACTATTGCAGCTGTTGCCAGATATTATTCAAAGCTGGAAAGCACATGAAGTCTTAAAACAGAGATTAAAAATGATAGAACACGATGTACCAAACTTTTGCCTAATGTTCTCCTATTGATATCCAAGGGATTGTTACGTTAACAACAGCCATTTCTCTCCTCCAGCAAATGGGGAGGGATGAGGTGGGTTCAGCAGGTTAGAAAATTACTACGGTTCTAGGGGAGTTGCAGAGGGGGGAGGCAAATTTTTTGTTCTCTTAATTATGGAATCATATCTGTGTGGCTCTTTTTCCCCAGACCCTGTTCAGCAAGTCTGACTCATTGGCAATGAGCATGAATAATCAATCAAAGGACATTTTCCTTGACAACTCTCTACATGGAAGGGCCATAATAAGGGGCTATAAGCTTTTGGAACTTTTAACTACCTCAGTATTTAATATTTGTTCCAATCCACTTTGCAGAATGAGCAGAGGAAGGGTTTAAAAACTGTCTGTTTCAATTGAGCTATCTTTTTTATGTGAAAGATGTTGTTATATGTACCCTAGGATGGCTGTAAACTAGGAGTAGCTAACTTAAGGTCTAAGGTAATATGTACCTTGCTCAGCCTTTCTTTCCATTCATGCACTATGTCTTTGTTTCTCCTTTCTCCCTTCCTTCCTGTAATGGGAAAAATAATTTTCCTACTCCAAGTAAAATGTTACCCTCTTCTTGTAGACATTCCAGTGAAAAACTGGATGAATCACAGCAAGCTGTTGAACTGCATGAATGACCTTACACCTTCAGTTCGTCTTGTAATATTATATGAGCCAAGTTCTGACAGTAATGGCACACAGAGTATAGATGATGATTAGAAATGAGCCAAAGCCTAATATATTTATTTCACTCTCTTCTTTACAGGTTGAAACATTGGCTTTCACATCAATGTTTGGGTGGAGGAAAGCCAGTGAGGTGTAGTGGTTTGACCTTTGGACATCAACTCTGGACAACACGGTTTGAATCCCTTCTCTAACATAGATATCCACTGTGTGTCCTTTGGAAAGTCACCTTTTCTCAACCTGAAAGGAAGGCAAAGGCAACCCCCCTTTAAACCAAGAAAAATGCCATAATAGATTTATCATCATCATAATCATCATCATCATCATCATTTAATAACTTATTAATCGCCCTCCATCCGAGAATGCTTCAGGTGATTTACAGCTAAATTAATTTACCTTAAGTTTGCCATGTCAAGAACAACTTGAAGCCACAACAAGGGCTACATAGAATTCAATTATTACATTGTTCAATATCCCATTAACGCCTCTATCAATTACCTTCATTACTTTTTTGGTGACTATTTGCTGGTTGGAAAAGTTATCTTTTTTAGACTGGGGCTTCCCATATTTTCCAGCCAGCATGGTTAGAACTCTTCCTTAGCGATTTTTGGTGGAATAAGATCTTGGGCAGTTTTTTCTTTTTCTTTTGCCCAGTTATCTGAGCACACATAGGAAAATGATTATAATGAAAGCGATAATTTCTTATCTACTTCTTTTCATGGATTGAAGTGAGGAGCAGCAACATATTAAAATGTAACATGAGCCATCATTTAAAAACACATAGCACATAAAGTAGTTAAAGGGAAGGTAAAGGTTTTCCCCTGACATTAAGTCCAGTCGTGTCCAACTCTGGGGGTTGGTGCTCATCTCCATTTCTAAGCGGGAGAGCCGGCGTTGTCTGTAGAAACCTCCTAGGTCATGTGCCTGGCATGACTGCATGGAGTGCCATTATCTTCCCGCTATTGATCTACTCACATTTTGCATGTTTTCAAACTGCTAGGTTAGCAGAAGAAACTAGTTGAAACAACAGAACATATAGGACCAATGCATTTCAAACAATCAGTACACAATTTGAAATTCAGAATTTTAAAAAATCATCTGGATAGACCTATCTGAAGAGACAGGTTTTTACTGCTGTTGAAAAAGCCGACAGCACATTCAGCTATTGAATCTCTTCTAGCAGATTTTTTCTTAATTTAGAGGCAGCTGAAGAAAAAAAAATCCTTTGAGTGACAATTGCCAGCCTAGTCCTGTCTGACTGGAGTAAATGTTCTCCAAAGGACTGGAGTAAATGTTCTCCAAGGGAGTGTACACAGCAGATTATATGGAGGAGGTGATCCCATATGTAACCTTGACCCATGTAGAGTTTGAAAGACAATGTTACCTTTAAAGCCCTATATGGTTCATCTACTTTGTACACTTAGTGAACTTTCTCTCTTCCTCCATTTTTCCAGTCCAATTTGTGGAAAAACAATGCCTGTGTAAATATCTAAGTTCTGTTTTCAACAAATAACCTAACCACCTTTGCAATTTAGACCCATTTGTTATTTTGTGTGCCTTCACATTATTTCCATCTTATGGTGATCCTAAGGCAAACCTGTCATGGGATTTTCTTGGCAAGATATCTTCAGAGAGAGACAGAGACAGAGAGGCAAATTATTGTTCAAACAATAGGAAAATCAAATTGGTGATTAGAGCTGTTAGACAGTGGAATATGCTACTTTAGAGTGAGGTGGAGTCTCCTTTGGAGTTTAAAGGTGGCCATCTGTCAAGATTGCTTTGATTGTGTATTCCTGGGTGGCAGGGGATAGGAATGGATGACCCTAGTGGTTCTGTCCAACTCTCTAGGGTTCTGTCCAATTCTAGGGTTTGCCATTGCTTGGCTGAGTATGATTTGCCCAAGGCAACCCTTCCTTGGATGAGAAGGATACAAAAACTCTTGATTTCCCTTATTCTTGGTTATTTTACTTCTGCCATAACCCACCCTTCTAGCACTACCACAAAAAGTAATTTTTGACTTAAAAGCTCAGATCCATTCATCTGTTGGATTCTATAATCCAAAGGATAACTTGTCCATCCTCTGGTCAGATATATTTTAGTACAGGAGTAAACATTGTTCGTTTGTGCTCAAATGCTGGTGTATCACTCTTATCTGTTTACAGAGGCTCTGCTGACAAAACAACCCAGATGCGATGTAGAAATCATTGTGGCATTGGGACAACAAAACTATGGCAGATTAAGCTGATCACTTTTTCTGTTTACATTTTTAAAAAACATTCATGGACAACTGCACTTGTCAGTTTTACAGAGCTTTTGTAATCATTTGGAAAAATGCAGCTTCTCAGTCTTTAGAACAACCTGCATTTCTATGAATAATACATGCAGCAATAATGGGCAGTAGGCCCTCAGAGGTTTAATAAAGTGTTTTTTGAGGCTTTGAAAAATTCTTCCAAGAAATTTATATAGTTGTCTTGGACCATAAATTACAGGCGAGACACCTTGGGAATAACAAAATCCATTTTACAGAAATAAACTGGCTTTAGCAGATGCTATTTAGTTCACTACTGCTAAAAATGGTATGATTAGAAAAACAGGTGACATTGACAATAAACAATACCACTTTCATTACATGGGCTTCAGAAGGCACATGTATAAACTGGATAATAATAATAATACGCTATAAAGAGAAAGATTCTGTTCAAGTGTCAGGCTAGTAGTAGAAAGGCAACATAGAAATGTTACAAATAAATATTATTTTGCTTGCTAAAATATTATTTTACATGCCATCATTTTCATAACCTACATGCATTTGGTGAAGATAAAAAGAAACACTCTACCGGTTGGATCAAAATCTGGAAAATAATCAGGGCAATTTTGGTCAGCAAATTCTCCAGCAGGTGTATCATCCCAACATAGCCATCCATCCCATGTCCGGTTACAGAATAACCCTGGAAATTCAGAGAGAATAGAGCTTTATTGTTCAGAAAGGAAACCAATTGACCTTCTTTTCTTGAACAGATTAATTCCCTCCCATGTTCTGTTTGGCAAAGTATGTACATGATTGTGTTGTCAAAGACTTTCATGGCTGGAATCACTGTGTTGTTGTAGGTTTTTCAGGTTGTATGGCCATGTTCTAGAAGTATTCTCTCCTGACATTTCGGCTGCATCAATTGCAGGCAGCCTCAGAGATTGTGAGGTCTGTTGGAAACTAGGAAAATTGGGTTTATATATCTGTGGAAAGTCCAGAGAAGTCAGCCATAGCAGAGCACCTGATGAACCAACCCAGACACAGCATATTATTTGAGAACATAGAAATGCTGGACCACTCTAACAACTACCATGTCAGGCTACACAGAGAAACCACTGAAATCCACAAATTTCAACAGAAAGGAAGAAACCATGAAAATGAACAAAATCTGGCTATCAGTATTTTAAAAAACTCCAAAATTATAACAGTAAATAAAAAATAACATTCAAACACAAGGGAACTCCAGACAAGAAACAATCAAGGACAGCTAATCACCTCTTAACAAAGGATTTCCCCAAGCAGAAACAAGAGACACCAAAAAAACTGTCAAGCCACCAAATGTTAATCAAGGTGACCAATTGAAACATTCACAACTAGCCCCAACAGACAAGAGCTCTTTCTCCCACCCTGGACTTTCTACAGATATATAAACCCAATTTTCTTAGTTTCCAACAGACCTCACAACCTCTGAGGATGCCTGCCATAGATGCAGGTGAAACGTCAGGAGAGAATGTTTCTAGAACATGGCCATACAGCCCCAAAAACCTACAACAACCCAGTGATTCCGGCCATGAAAGCCTTTGACAATTATTTATATTATGCACATTACTTAGGATTTCATTCATTTTGCAGCTGTCACTGAAATCTCCCCTTTTCCAAGTGCATTTTCTCATGATGTATATTGTCTGGGCTGCTAAACCCTTTGTTCAGTTAATCATCAGCATGGGATCCTACACCACCATATTTCTTTCTGACAAATCCTCCATTGTCTCCCATCTTTGGGTTGTATTTTGGATGAGAGTGAAGTATTACCATATGGAATCAATGGACAAGATGGATAGGGGAGCCCAAGTCCTACTAAAAACATTTCTGAAAGATGGTAGTATTTACTCTAGTCTGTAATTTTGTACACATTTTTCATACTGTGATAAGAAAACATGTTTTCTTAGAAATTATAAAAATCTTTTTATTTAGTGGAAATAATCCATTTCCCCTCCGCACTCCCATTTTATATCAAAAAGATTGATTTTTACTCTACACATGACCTTTATGTTATAAAAAATTAGACTAATTTAATGTTTATATTAAGTTGTTTGGGATGCGTATTTATAATCCTGGGTGATTTCTTGCTTTAATAAAATAATTGCTCTCCCAATTTGTTTTTTGTACTCTGAAATCTTTTTAGTTTAATTCTCCGACTGTAGTATTTTCAATTCAACAAGAGTATGCTAGATTAAATGAACACATTCTGTTACACAAAATCCTTCCTTTGTCACAATTCCTGCTGAGGGAAACAGCATGTGCTCCTAGCAATAAAGGAAGTTTTCTAGATGAGAGGTGGAAAGCCTTCCTATTGTGACTGGCATACTATTTCAGGCTTTGGACAGAAAAAATAGAAATATCCCACTAGTAGGAACAGGGGGAAAAGCTTATAGCTAGATTCAAAGGCTTGTTCTTAGATAAGTTCAACATTTAGTTGCAAGAAAGAAGAGGTATATTTTAAAAACATTTATTCATGTTGCTGTTTTGTACTGCGTGATGACAAGAGGTATAGGAATCCTGATGCGTGGTCTCAAATATGAAGAGGCATGTAGTACTGTAGCTCAGAACACATCACATGGAGCTCTGTCCCACACATTTAATTGGACTTCATTCTCATAGAGTGGCTTTGTAGTAAGGAATGTAGTGGGAGAGGGGAAGTAAGACAGAAGATTCAAAGGTAGGTTTCTGCTGACATGTAAGATTAAAAAAGACCATTACTCAAATAAGCATTCTCCACTACGCATGGAGATTAGAGATGCTCTTATCCTCAACACCCTTTCATCCCACCACAAATTGAGGCAAAAATCTGAACAGCACTGACTAAAATGATCAAGGGTCTGGAGAACAAGCCCTATGAGGAGTGACTTAAAGAGTTGGGTGTGTTTAGCCTGCAGAAGAGAAATGTGAGAGGAGACATGATAGCCATGAATAAATATGTGAGGGTAAGTCCCTCCTCCCATAGGAGGAGGGAGCAGGCTTTTTTTCTGCTGCCCTGGAGACTACGATGCAGAACAATGGCTTCAAATTGCAGGAAAGGAGATTCTACCTGAACATTAGGAAGAACTTCCTAATTTCCAGAGCTGTTCAGCAGTGGAACTCTCTGCCCTGGAATGTGGTGGAGGCTCCTTCTTTGAAGGCTTTTAAACAGAGGCTGGAGGGCCATCTGTCGGGGGTGCTTTGAATGTGATTATCCTGCTTCTTGGCAGGGGGTTGGACTGGATGGCCCACAACGTCTCTTCCAACGCTAGGATTCTATGATTCTACGAAGTAATACCCATCCAGGAAAGATCCGCGCACAATGTAGATTTAGCAGGATTCCCTTTTGGCCTGTTGACCTATTTGTTCAGGGCCAAGCCAAAATGTTTCAATCTGAGGTAGTGTTCAAATGGGACCACCTTCACATTAGACCTTAAAGACACGGTCTGCAAGAATAGAATGACAAATTAAGGAGCAATTATGGAGATTTTGATCACTAATATCCCAACTATATTGATTAGGAGCAGGAAACAAGCAGACCTACAAAAGGGGAAGCTTTAGTTGATGGCACAATAGCCCCTTCCCTCATATTTTCATCTGACAAGGCTGAGGCCACAACTGCACTGTTCTGTACAATTTGTGCTATGCTACAAACCATCACACAAGTCAGGTCAGAAAAAAATAAAGAACAACAATGCTACCTACATTTATTGATTTTACAAATCCATTGCTTGATCCTAAAAATATATATGTGAGTGACCTATATCTAGAATTTTCAGAAAAGAAGTCTAGCCTAAAAGAAAGAACTTCTAAATAAAGTTACAAATGTTTAAAAATAAATGTTGGTCTATTGCACTGCGTCTTAAACTGTGGGTCCTGACCCCAAATGGCCCTTCCTGAGCTCAATGAAAATTTTCTTTAAAATTTGACAACTGTACAAGATATCTGAATGCCACCCATTTACACAAATGTGTTAGTAACAATGTGCAGAAAATGCATCAGCTGTATACCACAAAAAGGAAAATCAACCTGTTTAGGAAGGTTTGCAAATACTTATTGATTTTTTAGTTATTTTTTATTTTTTAAAAAATCTATTTTATATACCTATACACCTGAGATCACATAAAAAGTTCTCAAACAGAAAGAGGTCATAACAGTGGACAAAATAGGAACTCCCAGTGGCGCAATAGGTTAAACTGTTGTGCCAGCAGGACTGCTGACCGATAGGTCAACGGTTCGAATCTGGGGAGAGCGGGTTGAGCTCCCTCTGTCAGCTCCAGATCCCTATGTGGGGACATGAGAGAAGCCTCCCACAAGGATGGTAAAACATCAAATATCTGGTCGTCCCCTGGGAGACATCATTGCAGACAGCCAATTCTCTCACACCAGAAGCGACTTGCAGTTTCTCAAGTCACTCCTGACATGAAAAAAAGTGGACAAAGTTTAAGAAGCACATGTCTATTGAACATATCAAAACCAGCTTTAAAGTTCAGAGATTGCACTGTAGGTTAACTATTACAAACTTTTTCCTTTTCATTGTTTAGAACAGGGGTCCTCAAACTTTTTAAACAGAAGGCTAGGTGACAGTCCCTCAAACTGTTGGAGGGCCAGATTGTAATTTGAAAAAAAAAAACATGAATGAATTCCTATGCACACTGCACATATTTTATTTGTAGTGCAAAAAACACTTTAAAACTATACAATAATTAAAATGAAGAACAATTTTAACAAATATAAACATATTAGTATTTCAATGGGAAGTGTGGGCCTGCTTTTGACTGATAAAATAGGATTGTTGTTGTTGTTGTTGTGTGCTTTCAAGTAGCTTCAGACTTAGGTTGACCCTGAGTGAGGGCCGGGTAAATGACCTTGGAGGGCTGTATCTGGCCCTCAGGCCTTAGTTTGAGGACCCCTGGTTTAGAAAGTCAGTTGTAATTTCCAGACTTGCATTTATCACAAAACAAATCCCATTTGTGCATATAGATCTGATTATTCTGAGTGTGATTTCTCCTTTGGTTTTATATAGCATTTCATAAATGCATTTGCGTATTTTGTTTTCTTATTTGCTTTTCTTTGTACCTTTTTTCTTGTAAGGAGGTGTTCTGTTCATCCTCTCATAGCACTTGAACTGCGAATCTACTATCTTCTGATGCACTGCTGAGTGTTCGGCTGCTACAGGTGCTAAGGTGGGGTCAGTATAACTTACAGTAGAAGAGAGAGTTGGAGCCATTCTCTATACAAAGAGGAAAATCTGTTAATGCATGTGAGTACAGCCAGGATATAATCAGAAACAGGAGGTGGTCATCATTCGTATTGCAAAGACCATTTTATTTGTACATATACTTAAGGATGCCATGGAGATTTGATGTTTTCCTTGCAAAAAACATAGTATTTTCCTATCCATTACACACTTCTTTAGAGGAGGCAAAATACAGGGTTGAATGAGCCATTGCAAAGGAAGGCATGCTTTTGATTATCTACAGAAGCTTCTGTTGTGTCTCCAACATCTATTCATTTCACTGGGATTATGTGTTATTACATAATTATACATATTTTAACAAGTGGAAGCTAGGAACACGGTATATTTTACAAACAACACAAACCGATATTGGGGGACATTCATAAATAATATTGTACAACAATAATATACCACCCAGCTGTCCTGGTTTAGCAGGGACAGCAGCCTTAAGTGCTTTCCACTTTCGGAACTGCTTTCAAAATGTCTCTTCTGATTCTGTCCTCGGTTTATTTCAATTACTGAGAACAGAATTAAAAGTGCAAAAGTAGTTTGCACGCAATTAATTCAGCAGGAAGGAGAGGAGAGGACAGGAGAGGAGAGGAGGGGATGGAAATGTTGTCCTTCCCAAAGTCAAGACATACATTCCAGAGTTTTTCTACTTAAAATAATAGTTTTGAGCATTCTTCCTTATTAATAATATTTGATTTTTGTTGCCTGACCACTGCCAAGGGCAAAATTCCATCTTCCCTTTATTCTTTTGCTTACTTTGCATGGAAACAGAGTAGTTTTAGCTCAGTGTATTGTCGAAGGCTTTCATGGCCGGAATCACAGGGTTGTTGTAGGTATTTTTCGGGCTATATGGCCATGTTCTAGAGCAGTGGTTCTCAACCTGGGGTCCCCAGATGTTTTTGGCCTCCAACTCCCAGAAATCCTAACAGCTGGTAAACTGGCTAGGATTTCTGGGAGCTGTAGGCCAAAAGCATCTGGGGACCCCAGGTTGAGAACCACTGTTCTAGAGGCATTCTCTCCTGATGTTTCGGCTGCATTTATGGCAAGCATCACAACCTCTAAGGTTACTTGCCATAGAGGCAGGCGAAACGTCAGGAGAGAATGCCTCTAGAACATGGCCATATAGCCCCAAAAAATCTACAACAACCCAGTTTTAGCTCAGTTTGCTGTAACTGAAGTAAACTGAGGACAAAAGTGAAAAATAGAGGAGAGAAAAGCTGGGAAATTTTCAAAGCACACCCAATACTTAATAATACTGCCAATCTGTTTCATATTGTTACTTACCCTCAAGGATAAAATCCTAAGTCAGTGTTTCTCAACCTTTTCAATGCCATAACCCCTTAAAACAGTTCCTCATATTGTGGTGACCCCCAACCATAGAATTAATTTTGTTGCTATTTCATAACTGTAATTTTGCTACTGTTGTGAATCGTAATGTAAATATCTGATATGCAGGATGTATTTTCATTCACTGGACCATATTTAGCACAAATACCCGATACACCCAAATTTGAATACTGGTGTAATGGGTGGTGGTGGTGGTCTTTGGCGACCCCTCTGAAACCCCTCATGACCGCCTCCAGTGGTCCTGGCCTCTAGATTGAGAAACACTGTCCTAAGAGGTTGCGTTCTGTACTCCCAACAGCTTTAACTGAGGCCCCATCTACAGTACCAGATAAAATCCAGATTATCTGCTTTGAACTGGATTGTATGGCAGTGTAGACTAATATAATCCAGTTCAAAGCAGATAATCTGGATTTTATTTGGCAGTGTAGATGGGGCCTGAGTTTCTTCTGGCTTTGAAATATAATGGACTGAGCTGAAATCTATCTGCTTGCAGATTTCCAAATACTCCTATCTCCTGATATAATTCCAGGTGTTAATAAAGAAGTCCTTCTCTCAAATTAGCATAAAGAACTTTATAAACCATCAGAGAAGCTGGCTTTTGGTCTTTTAGCTCATTACAGTCAGTCTGATGGAAACCACAAGGGTTTGCAGTCATGTTATATTGCTACTTCAGTTTCTCTTATGTAGTTGTTATACTGGTACTATATTTACTAGGACCAGATTGAGCCAAGGAAAATCAGTTTATTGCTTGTGATCAAAGGCTGTTGAATCAGATACAACAGAAATGCAAATATAAAACATACATAGTATAAAATATTTAGAAAAGATATTAAATATATATATGAAAAATGGAAATGGAAATGGAAAAGAAAAGCACAGGATTATATATTTTGTCAAATGGTTGATTTGCATGAAACCCAAAGGAGTGGATCGATGACAAATCAGATAAGATATATAAGCTGCTCTGAGTCCCTTTCGGGAGATGGTGGGTGTTGGAATATAAATAAAGATGATGATGATGATGATGATGATGATGATGATGGTTATTATTATTATTAGTTAAAGGTTAGGTAAAGGTTTTCCCCTGACATTAAGTTCAGTCATGTTGGTGCTCATCTCAATTTTTAAGCTGAAGAGCCGATGTTGTCCGTAGACACCTCCAAGGTCATGTGGCAGGCATGACTGCATGGAGCACTGTTACCTTCCCCCTGGAGCAGTACCTATTGATCTACTCACATTTGCATGTTTTCAAACTGCTAAGTTGGCAGAAGCTGGGGCTAACAATGGCAGCTCAAGCTGCTCCCTGGATTTCAACTTCTGATCTTTCAGTATGCAAGTTCAGCAGCTCAGCGGTGTAACCCACTGCACCACCGGAGACTCAATCATCATCATCACCATCATCATCATCATCATCGTCGTCGTCGTCGTCATTATAATATAGAGCCATAGCCCTATAAAAAACAACCATCCACAAATCCACAATACTTTTGAACTGCTCGAAGGTTTATCACTAATGAAAAGCAACAGAGCAAGATAAAATTGAATGTAGCCTGACTAATTAATTTTCATAAGGTCAGCTGGGTTGTTGAATTTCTTCCTCTCATTTTTTGTCAGCATATTTGTGTATGAACGCTACCAGAAAGGGGATCTGAGAAGTCATTGGAAATGTCAAGAGTCATCACATGGCCAGTTCAGGTGACATTTGCAGTTCACAGCCATAGGTCTATCTTCTGATTCTGGTTGCTATTTCAGGTAGCAGATTTCAGACATCATGAAAAGCAGAAACAGATAGTTATTAATTTATTGCTATTACGTTGTTAGTTCTAGGAGCCTGCAGGATTCTCTGACCCATCCTCTCACCTCCTTGCATCATGACTGTCATTAGATACTGTACACTTCAGTTCAGGTGAGGGACACCATACTTGCTGCCTTAGGCTGAGCCTGGCTACTTTATAATTTTGCATTTTACACAACTGCACTTTAAACTAGCTGCACCGCACACTCTACAGTTGGATTACATTAATATTAACAAACCCTAAATAATTCAGAAAAGACTGCTCCATCACAAAAACTCATGGTTGTAATTGCTTCATTATTTCTATGGACATTCAGAGGTCAGCTCTGTCGCTGTATGCCACATATTTACAGTGCTTCTCAGCCTATAGTCTGAAATGCTTGGGACTTCAACTTTCAGAATTGCTGACCACTAGCCATGCTGTCTGCTGGGAACTAGAGTCCAAAATGTCCGGAAGAGCTGAGATTGAGAACCATCATTACTGGGCATGGATAGCAGGTTTGGGAAACAATATTCTGTGCTGGGGTTTTCCAAAGCATCACTAGTTGCCAAAAATGCCACAAACTAAAATTTTAAAACTGAAAGTGCCCAGTAGTTCTTGCCTGGTTTTGAAAAAAGTATTTTTAATCTATATTAAACAGTTTGGTAGTGGGGTGTCAGGAGGTGCAATCTACAGCACCCATGATTCCACAGCATTGAGGGATGACAGTTAAAGTGATGTCAATCTGCGTGAATTCTACAGTGTAGATGCACCCAAAGTGCCATATTACTCCCCCCACTCTTGCCTATCATGTTGGTGCAGGCATTTTCTATATACAGTTCAAGCCACGAGTCAGGGTGAGCTCTCAACTTTCAGTCCTAGCTCTCTACCTACCTAGCAGTTCAAAAGCATGTAATACGAGTAGATAAATAGGTACTGCCTCAGGAAGGTAAAAGGGTGCTCCATACAGACATGCCAGCAAAAGATCAGAAAAGGCTTCAGCTAGGAGGCTCCTTTGGCATGGAAAAACGGAACAACAGCACCTCCCCACGGCTGGAAGTTGAGTATCACCTCCAGATGCCGGAAATGGATAAAAGGGGAAGACCTTTACCTATCTGTGTATCGTATGTTGTTGTTTGTGTTAAAAGGTATTGAATGTTTGCCTTATATGTACTGTAATCCGCTCTGTGTCCTCCGGGGAGATAAAGCAGAATATAAATAAAGTGTATTATTTTTATTATTAAATCAATCAAATCAAATAATTTATTTCGGTCACAGACCAACACAGGAAATAAAAGTCACTGTTTCATACGAACTTGGTACGTTTAGTACATTGAAAATGTAAATATAATTACTCAAGCACAATAGGGAGTGAGGGAGCGGAAGAGGAAACAGGGTAAAAACATACAATGCATAGGTCTATCGGCAAATTATAGACTCAAGGAAGATGATTATTGGATACAAAGTTAACTTTTGGGACCAGTCATCCCTTGATGGATTTTGTATGCTGCTGCACAAAACTTTGCAACATTGTAGGTTGTAGCTGAATTAGTATCTACAAGTAGCAGGGAGGTATAAAATTGTCCTGTATATCAGAGGTAAGATAAGCCTGGCATGGATATCCTTGTAGAACGGGCATTGAAGGAGCACATGTTCTATTGTTTCTATATGACCCGAGTCACAGGGGCAGAGTTTCTCTGGGAAAGGGATCCTCCGGTAGTGGCCTTCAAGTATAGCTGATGGGAGAGCGTGGCATCGAGCCAGGGTGAAAGCCCTTCAATGAATAGGTACTTCTAAACTGGTTAAATATGCCATAGGGGAGGCAAGATATCTGCTGACTTTGTTGATAAGGAAGGTAGGAATGGAGGTCAGATCTAGTTGGTGCTCTGTGTCTGTGATACGTTGTTCAATAAGAGCTTTGGGTTAATTGTAATCCATAGCGAGTAGTAGACCTGGAGAAAATTCCAATGAGGAGATTTTGGATGCTACTGCCTGCTTCCATGTGAATTGGAAGTCATCCTCCATGGTTATTATTATTACTTCTGAGCAAATCTTAATTCAGTAGGTATAAAGATTTGCTAATGACTTGCTTGTGTTAGTTCCCTTCTATTTGCAAGAAAGCACACACTGTTATTAAGCTTCTATCAAAATGTTCTGTGCTGCCTCAGTAACAGTGATTTAAGACCTAATGGCAAAGTCAAAACAAAGTTTGAAATATGAAGTATATTTTGGGCACTTATTTATACTGTTTCACTTTACTTTGACAACATGAGGGGGTTAATCTAATACCAGTATTAAAATAATTCCCTATTGCTAGATTAGTTTTAGACAGAATGGTGACCCCAATTTTTACATATGGTTTCTTGGAAATAAAGTTACCTGTTTGTTTTACATCTCATTTACCTTACTGCCACTGTGATATACAAGAATTTAATGATTTCAACATAAGGTTGTTGCTCTGCAAACAGAAGTAAACATGAATTCTTTCAGAGTTAAATGCTGGTATGGCCATTGACAATGTTGGAAGTTCATCTACATCATCTACATCAGGAAGCCTAACCTCTACATTCAGTTTGACCTAGCATGATGATATCTCCCAGATGATTTTCCCCCCCAGAGGTTAAAAAATAAATTAGAATCACATTAATGATTGTATTTCCAGTTTTACATCATATCTCCCCAGGGTTCATATAATTTATTTAGAACCGAGGAAGCATCTACACTGCAGAATGAATGCAGTTTGACATCATGTTAACTTGCACACTATGGAATCATAGGGGTTCTGCTGGGACAGGAAGGGGTGCAGAACGATCAGCCTAAAGGGTGTGATAATGTTAGATTATGGAGGGCAGTGTTTCTTTATTGGGGAAGGAGTGAAATTGGAGAGAACCTTGCTAAGTCTTTGCTATGATTTTTAGTGTTAGCTGCTTTGAGTCTCCTTTCGGATAGTAAAAACAGGATAACCACCACCACCACAAGTCTCATCTTTCTTCCCTGGGAATCACTTTTCCAAGTAAAACCATCCCCAACTCCTTTGGAATAGTGAGGGCAGAAGGAGAGGAGGAAGATTATGCTCTCTCACTCAAGCATACACAGAGGTATTTCATACTCCCAAGCCACAGTTATATTAAGAGTAATTGACAAGTTTTTCCCATTAATGAAAAAGTGCATTCTACTACTGATTTAAATGCAATGGAGGAATGCTAGAAACAGCATCATGTGATAAGTACCAGCTACAAATACCATTATCTTGCTGTAATTGCAAGTTACCAGCCTTGTGTGATTCAGCTCAAGGAGTATGTCCCAACATCATAATGATTCAAACTGGGGCCCCTTCCAGACAGGCCTTATATCCCAGAATCAGATCCCAGGTTTTCTGTTTATCCCAGATTATGTGGCAGTGTGGACTCATATAATCCAGTTTAAAGTAGAAAACCTGGGATCAGATCCTGGGATATAGGACTCCTCTGGAAGGGCCCTGAGCTGTTGGGCTAGAACAAGAGTCATGGGATCTGATATGTATATGAAATCTCTAGTTTGTTGCACATTCACTTTTATAGGAATTAAGGGAAATTTCCTTCTTTGGAATTTTGAATCAAATAAATTTGTGCATCAATTTACGGCCCCTTTCACACAACTGAATTTATCTGCTTTGAAATGGAATATATGGCAGTGTGAACTCAGGTAACCCAGTTCAAAGCAGATATTGTGGGATTTTCTGCCTTGATATTCTGGGTTATATGCCTGTGTAGAAGGGCTCTAAGTAGCTTGATGATTCATGTTAGCGATGAAATATCTTGTTACCATTTTATTGTAGTAAATTTGTTCTTCCTACTGAATATACACTTGTCATTTATCAAGGAGTTGTCAGCATCAGATAGTAGAAAAGTGGAGAAGTAGGAGGGCCCTTCCACACAGCCATATATCCCAGAATATCAAGGCAGAAAATCCCACAATATCTGCTTTGAACTGGGTTATCTGAGTCCACACTCTGCTAATGTGGGATTTTCAGTCTTGATATTCTGGGATATAGGGCTGTGTGAAAGGGCCGGAGTTGGTTTGGCATACTCTCTCCACAACCTTGGCCACAACAGAATAACTCCCTCTTAAAAGTTTCTACTTTAAGTATGTTATTCCCACTCAGATTTGTAAATAGTTTTTTCTTTGACTAAGCCATGCCCATTCCTTAGCAGTTTGTTGTTGAGTGTGGACTCAGTTTCTTGCACTTATAGGTGGGGATAATATTTGAAACCTATGAGTCCAACATTAGATAGACACCATGCAAAATTGTTGTCACAGTTCTTTCAATGCTGACTATTGCATATATATCATCAAATATAACCTTTCCTTTCACACTATATAATTGTATTTTGAAAGAGTGACATTCCAATATGATGTTTCAAATGGAAGGATTCATGGTGTCACTATGTACATTATACCTTATATTTAAGGTACAACTTAAATAAGTCAACAAATAGATCTTAAAGAGTAACGAATGGATTACAGCTTCACATTCAGGATGAAAAGGTCAATAATAATCCTTCTGAAGACAATTGCTTAATTGATGTCCCATGTGGCAGTTTAGCAGCCGTACATATGATGTCACTCCTAAAAGAACAAGTAAATGACGTCATACATACGACCACCAAGCCATCACGCATTAACAACTGTTATAAAAGGCAATTTAAAAACATATGCTACGTCATAAAACATTGAATATTGGCAACCTGTTAATGGATTCTGAAGCAGGTTTTGTCTTAATGATGATTAAGACTCAATATTGGACACTCTCAAATAATGCAAGCAACTAATGAAAAGAGTCTCCATAGATAAGGATCCAGACAATGGCAATCGAGTACATAAAGGTTGCTGAAAATACTCCATATACTGAGCAAACATCCGAACGGTGTCTCCATTAATGCAAGCTGAATATTGAACATCACTTTTAAAATGACCTTTAAAGCAAATGCCATATATACACATGTTTTCACTCTGATTCTCAAACAATATAATAAAGTAGACAAGCTCTAAGGTCAAGCTGAAAGTAGATCTTTTATATGCAAAGTTTAGCTTGGTACATTGTGCACATCTCTAGTCCATCCTGTAATGTTATGCAGCATTTGGGGAATGAATTCTACCCATCAAATAATTCATTCTCCTGCCACCAATGACATAGTGTAAGATTGGGGAATGTTATTCTTTGGTGCCTGGGATTCATACTGTATATACACTCGAACACTATACCTGGGAATTATTGAAATCTTTGTAAGTACCAGTAAGTTATAAAATGTTTCCCATCCCATAAGAAGGTTCTGGTCTAAAACTTCCCCTTCTCACTGGCCATTTTTTGTAGTTGGGCCAAAAAGCCATCTGCTGCTTTTCTTGATGCACATAGAAGCATTTTGTTCTTACTTTGTTTCTTTACTTACAATTAGTAGAATCATCAGTAAACAGCAACCTTTGCTTTTTCTGTCCATTGCAGACCCTTTCTGGAACAATATGTCTTTTCTGGCCTTGCTGGGAATTGAAAAGAAAACACACACCATTAGCTATCTTAGCTATCTATTGCCAATCAAGACTTCAAGTAAATTTCTGAAAAGTTTGTTTCTAATTGCAGAGATACTCATAAAATTATTCAAATATGGCACTTGCAGTAATCCACTGGTTTGCTCTATCTACAGATCATTCACTAAGCGTGTGAATAATTGCTTGAGTACAGAACTGAACTATTAATACTTAAATTTTTAAACTTTCCATGTTTCATTAGAAAGAAAAGCAAGGACCTTCTTTCCAAACTGGAAGATATTTCTATTATCTCTGATGAAGATCAATATACTGCACCTTGGAGACTCAACAATGCATTTTTAGAGGGCTTTGTCAACAGTCCTTCAAATAACCAATGGCAACTAGTGATTTCCAAGTCAGTGGGTTGACAGATCTGCTCCATTTTGGTCTAATCAACTTGGTTAGTTCCTCGCATCAAGCTTAAATTAAGGTGGATACTTACACATCCAATCCAAGCAAGTGGAGGGAAAACACTGAAATGCGTTTTTAAAACACTGAAGTGATAACCTCTAATGAGAAGTCCAAGTGATTTAAAATGAGAAAGCAGATATGTGAGCAGAAATGTGCTTTTATCAAAATCGTACAACAGAATTCCAACAAATGTATTTAGATTATATTGAGAGAGCTTGTGTCTCAGTTTCTAAATTGGGTGGGTAGTACAATAAGTAATGCAAACCGAGAATTGCTAGTGCAAACCAATATTTTCAAACTCATCTTCTTCTGGTGTTTCTCCTCATTGGATATTTTTTCCCTCCATGACACTAAAAGCTTTATTTGCCCAACTGTGAACCTGTGAACTCGAGACTCTATACGCAACCTGCCTCATTCATTCATTTACAACAACAGCTTCTTCAGGAGAGAGGCAGCTAGAGGCCTGCGACTTTGGAGGACAGGTACACATCTTTGCGTGCTTTTTTATTCCCATTTTTAACCTTCAAGTTGTTTCTGACTTTTGGGGACCCTAAAGGCAAATCTATCACAAGGTAAAATTTGTTCAGGTGCTTTTGCTGCCGAGAATGTAATTTTCTCAATGTCACCCAGTGGGTTTTCATGGATGGGCAGGAAATTGAAGCATGGTCTATAGATCATAGTTCACTGCTCAGACCACTATACCATACTGGCTCTCATTTCATGCTTGCTGTATGCAAGTGTAGTGGCAGCCCTTTCTCAACACAAGAGGGAAAAATTGTCCAGAAACTGAGGCCCTTCCAGAAAGGCTCCAAAATGCGAGCCCTGTCAGACTTTTACCCAAGGTGTCCAAATGTTGCCCCAGATAAAAGCAAATTAATTTGGGACAAAGCAGGAAAACCCTGCTTTATCCCAAATTTATTTATTTATTTCCCACATTTCTACCCCGCCCTTCTCAACCCCCGAGGGGGGACGGACTCAGAGCAGCTTACACTGGCAACAATTCAATGCCACAATGTACAAAACAATTATAACAGATATCCCATTATATTAGATATGCCATTAGATCTGGGCTTTCCTGAAAGGCCTGGTTCTAATGGGGTATGGATCCTGTGGGGACTGACTTCTGGGACTGCTTCTGTAGTCCCAGGAGTCTGTCCCCACAGCCCAATTAGCTTCTTTGGGCTCCATAAGCCTGGAGAAGTGAAGAGGTCACCCACCCCCTTCCCACCCCATTCCCATAAAGCCTTGAAATAAAATTAAAAATTACCAGGTTGCCATGAGGCTGCTCTGACAGCCCTCCTGATGTGTAAAAATGACGTGCCAGGAGAAGGAGGAGACTGCTTCTACCCCCCCCCCTCACATCCTGGCACATTATTTTTATGTGCCAGGAGGGCTGCCGGAGCGGCCTCATGGCGACCAAGTAAGTTTTTCTTAATTTTTAAGGCTTTGGGGGGGGGGGGGGGGGCTCAATGCAAATCCTTAAAGTTTTGGGGATGGCAAGAGGGCACCCACCCGGGAAAGCCTGAGTTTTGGGGGGAGGTGTGGGGACTTAAAGCTGCTCCAGAGCGGGCTTCTTTAACCTGCTCAAAAGTGGGTTTAAGCCCTGTGTGGAAGTGCCCTAGCATTTTCCCCATTAAATATAAAATGCTTATCAGAAATACAAAGGCCACTGGAAACTAAAGCTATGACAATTATTGTTGATTCCAAGAAAAATACAGTAGATATGGGAGATCTAGCCTACTCCAGATGCACTCTAAAAAGGCAATAGCTAGGGAGAGGTCTAAAAAGATTCTAATTTTTAAAATATTGAGTTCCTCTGCCCATCCTAAAGAGATAGGTACAATCAGGACAGTTGCTGAAATCTCTTGATAAGGTGACTGGACTAAGTCTCTTTCCTTTTTCAAGTCACTGGATGAGTTGGCATCCTCCTTAGTGGTCCATGTGCCCTATTCCACATCCAGTTTTAAGAAGAAAAACATAGCGTAGTCTTTCTTTTCCTAAACCTAATCTTTCATCGATCAACCACATTGCCTTGAGTAACTGAACATTTCAGGGATGCAGACAACGAAACTTTGCTTCAAAAAATCCCCCAAAGGTTATCATATTTAATGGATAGAGATATGAAGAAAGATCAGAATATACGCCTTTCACAATTAAAAATCAAGACTTGGGGTGATGAAAACATAAAGATAAATGTTTAAGTGATCCGCCTACTACTTATGTATTATTCATCGTAAGTATGCATATATCACTTTTCTTCCTACCAGGATCCCCTAAATAATGTCAAATTAAATCTGGAAAAATACAATGACAGAAAAAACTAAATCATTTTTGGGTTGTTGTAGGTTTTTCTGGGCTATATGGCCATGTTCTGGAGGCAATTTTTCTCCTGACGTTTCGCCTGCATCTATGGCAAGCATCCTCAGAGGTAGTGAGGTCTGTTGGAAGTAGGAAAAATGGGTTTATATATCTGTGGAATGACCAGGGTGAGACAAAGGACTTTTGTCTGCTGGGGCTAGGTGTGAATGTTTCAGCTGATCACCTTGATTAGCATTCAATGGCTTGGAGGTGCCTGGGGGGAATCTTTTGTTGAGAGTGATTTTATGTGCCTGTTTGTTTCCCCTCTGTTGTTTTGCTCTTGTAATTTTTGAGTTTTTTTAATACTGGTAGCCAGATTTTGTTCATTTTCATGGTTTCTTCCTTTCTGTTGAAATTGTCCACATGCTTGTGGATTTCAATGGCTTCTCTGTGTAGTCTGACATGGTGGTTGTCGGTGTGGTCCAGCATTTCTGTGTTCTGAAATAATATGCTGTGTCCAGGCTGGTTCATCAGGTGCTCTGCTATGGCTGACTTCTCTGGTTGAAGTAGTCTGCAGTGCCTTTCATGTTCCTTGATGCGTGTCTGGGCGCTGCGTTTGGTGGTCCCTATGTAGACTTGTCCGCAGCTGCATGGTACATGGTAGACTCCTGCAGAGGTGAGAGGATCATTTTTTTTAAAAAAATCCTCAAACCACTGAAAGGAGCAAAGGCCTGGTAAGATGTCAGCATTTCTAATACCGATTGATACCTCAATAGGAATGGGAGTGTCACTGGTTTCTTTATAGGAAATTCCATAGGTGTTGCAACTTGCAACAGAACAAGTTCTGTCTTCTACATTCAATAGCTTTTTCTGGTGTACAGTCCCTGTGACAAAGATCTCAAAGCATCAATAGACTCAGCCAGGGAAAGGTGCTATTTCACATATTCTAACCTTAAGCCAATTAGGACTTTACATAGATTTTTTAAAAAGAGCATCTCAGTCTGGGCTCTGAAACAAATTAGAAGCCAGTAGAATTGATTCAAGACTGGTGACACTTGTAGTCTGCTGCTGCATTTCACACTAACATAAAATCTGAACATTGTTGAAGAGAAAAATCCATGTAAAGCATATGAAAAGGAATGATTCAATGTGGTCAGAGTCATCTTCACTAGAAGTGGAAACAGTCAGTGCACCAGCCAAAAGTGAGAAAAACACAGGCTCTTTAGTCCAAAAATACCCTCAAGGTGCACATCTGACCCCTTAGAGCAGGAGTTCTCAAAGTGTGCTCTACAGAGCCCTTAGGACTCCACAAGTGATAGAGAGGGGCTCTACCATACCATGCTGCTTCCCATCTCCTCTTTCCTCCTCCTCCTTCTGAGAAATGCAGGGAAATTAAAGTTTTGAGCTGCTGAAACAGCCTATGACACAGAAGTCCTCTTGTGTCATATGATGGGATCCGCTTAATCTATGAACTGTGTGGAAATATGTGGAAATGAGGGGCGGTGTTGCATGTGATGAAGTCCTTAATTGATTAGACATCCAGTCCTTCACTATGCCCAGATGGTTAAGAACTTCAAAGTTTTCTTGCTAACTCTAGGGAAGAAAAGCAGAGCTTCCATGAAGTTATCTGAATTTGGAGGATGGTCCCATCGCCATGTTGATACCGAGCCCCCACGCTACAGATGACTTCCTACAGCACATTGGTGTTAATAAAATTCTATCTTATATTATGCTGAGTTCTTCACCTTGGTTCTGGTTATTCGCACAAATGCTGCATTGTTCTGAGCTCTTCGGAAAACAAAGTAATATGTGCCTTATAACCAAGTTAAACTAGTTTAGGAGTCATAAGGTGAACTACTCAAGTCATCTCTCCATTTTACAGTATTAGCAGGATTGCTAGCAATAGTAAATGGAAATTTTCTCAGAGCATTCAGTAATTTGGAGTGGGGGCATGGGGATCTATTAGGTATCCATGGCTAAGCCATTTTTAATATGGATCCTGACCCTTGCAAACAATTCTAACAAACCTATCAATCCATCTATCTCTTTATTTATAGCAGTGGTTCTCAACCTGTGGTCCCCCAGATGTTTTGGCCTTCAACTCCCAGAAATCTTAGCAGCTGGTAAATTGGCTGGGATTTGTCAGAGTAGTAAGCCAAAACACGTGTGGACCCACCTGTTGAGAACCACTGATTTATAGCTTTTCTTTTTCCAAGGGTGGGACTCTAGGCAGTCTACAAAAG